TTAAAATATTAGCATCATTTATATTTTTTAGTATTGGATTTGCCCCACTTTTGCTTTAATGTCAGTGTGATGATTTAATGTCAGCCTGATTTGAGATTATCCAATATAGTAGAAGAGTATCTTTATCTTCAGTGGAAGCGAGAACATCTGACCAGCTGTAGAAAGAAGTCACATGTTCACATGATTTTTTTTTTTTTTTTTTTGCATTGAATGTGCTGTATCATATACCATTCTTTGGCCAAACAGGTATGATTGTTTGAGGCCTTGAAATATTGCAGAATCTTTCAAATAGATTTTTTGTCATAACATTTCTTTGTTTTGAAATGTTCAGCTTTCTGAAACATTGTTTATTTCCAGGTTTAAATCATGTATTTTAAAATGTGGTCACAGACTTTGGGATCCTACTGTAAGTGTTGCTTAGATGGAACTTATAGGAAAGAGAGAGATGTGGTTGCACCACATGGAGCCATTTAAAAGACGGGAAAGGGTCGTGGACTTAGAACAGGGGTTTAGGACCCTCTTTCATATACACATGCACATGGTACAGGCCAATAACTCCCTGATGGGAGAATCTATTCTGTTGACTATGAAACCGAAAGCCATCCGCTTTAAAAGAAGGAAACCATTTGAAACACACACACAGCCTACAGGTCAGCTGGCCCTTGCAGGGAGGGTCTTGTCTGTTGTCTGTGGAAGTTAAGGGCTCTAGAAACCATTTGCACAGCTTGCGCACATACAACGGAACCCCTGATCGGGTGGGGCCCGTCCTGTTGCGAGGGGGGTGGAGTTTAGGCGATGACGGATGGCTCTTAGTCTGTCAAACAGCCGTTTAGCGTGATAGATGGAGCCAAAGAAAAAGAGGAGAGAAATAAGAGGAGCGTTCCATAAAGCAGACGGCCGCCATTTGAAATGTCAGCGCCTGGTCTCCCATGCATATGCACATGCTTATACAACACGAGAAAAGAAAACAAGGAGGAATTCTCGGAGCGCTCGGAAGTCCGGCTGTGGTGGGATTTGCCGTGCTCTCACATTGCAGGAGAAAACACTGGATCAGTGCGCCTCCCTTCGCCTCGGTCCTTCTCTTGTTTTTTGTGTTTAACACATTCAACATATTAAGGAAATCAAGATGGATAAAGGAGCCCACTCATCCGGCCCAGAGAGAGGGGTGGAGGTCTTCACCGGACGTCTGAGTGGGGTTCATTATCTCAGTGGAGGAAAATGCAAGGCACTGTGGGACGGGTCAAAGAACAGTAACTCAATAATCACATTCCCTTCTGCTGCTCACAGATGAAAGCGAGCTATAGTGTGCAGATAAACCAGAGAATGGAGAGACTGTAGAAGAGTACAAAGGCAGAAAGAAAATGGGGCCAAAAATAGAGATACTGCAAAGCACAGAGCGCACTGTCTTTTAATTTAATTTCATGTAAAGGAGCCATTTTCTTGCCTATGTAGCATTTAATTTATTTTCCCTTGAGGGGGAAAAAAATGTATAATTTTTATAATGTTAGTGAGTTGCATGAACAAATACAGTTTGTAATTCAGTTTTCTTCACTGTAACTTATGCTGACAGCATTTTAATTACTGAAGTTGCTTTCTGCTCGTTGCTAGTAGACGGGGCCACACAGAATTTGTGCTTGTAGAATCTAGGATGCCATTGGTTGAAAGCAATATTTTTCTGTTTTGTCATTATCACAGTTTGATTTTCTTAACAGTTTGATTTATAAAAGTTTTGTTCAGAGATCTTGGTTTAATTTTAATCTCAAATTTAAAAAAGGTTTTTCTCAACATAAAAAAAATCTTGTGTTCTCAGTGATTTTTTTTTTTTTTTTTTAAATCACAAATTTATTTTATTGTAATTTCAATTTAACAAAATATGTTTTTTCTATCTTGACCTAATTTTCTTGTGATCTCAACATAACTAAAGTTGCTCTTGTGATGTTCATTTTCATTTTTCTTAAGATCCTTTCATTTTTCTTTCATCTAATATATTTTTTTTCTTGATTTTGAGGTAACAAAAGCCATTTATAGGCATTTATAATTTGTTGTTAGTAATAATCTTACACTGATTTTGGATGTGATTTAAGTCCTGGTCATTTGAAAGCAATAAAAAAAAGAAAAACGTGCATAGCCTCTTAGCCATAAGTAATGCCATAACTGTGATTCCTTGATTCCCAGTTTCTGCCATTTGTATTCCTGTTACAGTTTTTTCTATATATGTTGCATGAAAAGAGTCAACCAACAATTGGGCTTCTCATTTGTTTGAAATAACAGCCGTACTCTCTCTTTCTTTCATAGCCAGTTGATTCTGTCAGGCGGTAGTGTGCAAGTGGGTGTCCGTCTAGGCATTTTTATATACATTGTGAGTGTATGTATGCACTTGCAGTCTTCTATCTGTCATTGCTTCATTGCATGACACATGTAACCCAGCCTTTATGTCCTTCTGCTCCTTGTTTATAATGTCCGATATCACATGCTTGAGTCCAGGCATCTCAGTAAAAGGGTTTTTTCCAGAGCGCCTAAATCAGCCGTTATCTGCTGGATCTTGGCAGTGTGTGGAAGCGCTGATGTACTGTATATCCCGCTGATGCCTTCTGCCCACTTGCAAAGCAAACACTCTTGAGTCATCATGGTCCAGTTTGCTCGCACAGCCATAACACAGAGGCCTGTTTGGACGACTGCAAGGGTTTAAGCCGAGCTTCTCAAGTGGAGACTGGGAAATGACAATGACTTGTGAGGAAATGGAGACATTGTCCTCTCATTAGTCTTTATAAGTAGTCTTATCTGATCTTATACTGTCTGTGGCAGACTTGCTTATTATATATACACATTACACACAAGGGCACCTAGAGAATGGATGCCACATATTAGAGAAGCTCTTACAGCTGCACTTCTCTCTCTTTCTCTGAAACCTGAGGCTTCTCTCTCTAAAGCCATGGTTTCTCTCTCTAAATATTTCCTTTGAACTTGGGTTTCAGAGTCTGTTATGCCAGGATAATGTTGGTTGGTCCCTGAGGTGTAACCTCACTACCCTTAGGCATCTGCCTTCCTCAACACACACACACACACACACAGAGTCTCAGATTTAGTGGGGATCATCAGCATAGATCTCCTTTGAAGCTTTTTGGTGTAAGACAACTATAATGATTATAATGTGTCATGCATCTTTTTTTTGTTTTTGTTTTGTTTCTATTTTATTTTGTAATTTGTCAGGTATCGGCTGATAGTGGGTATTTAATTGTTTCTGCTTAATATAAGGTTTAGATCATCGGCATAGGACTAATTTAAAACCCTTGTGCGTTCCTCATTTGGGAGTCACACTCATGGTCTTCGCGGTCAAAAGTGACCAGACACCTGAAATGTAATTTTTTTTTTTTTTTTTTCTTCAGTAAAAGCAATCTAATATATTTTTGTTCAATTATATTTTTTCTTTTGTATTTTGAGAGAATTTTATGGTAATAATTATGATAATTTTTCCCATTGAAAATAGTACAAAAATGTATTTATTTATTATTATTTATCATTAATTTTAAAATTATTTTTCAATTAATGCAGTATTTTAGATTAAAATAGAGACTAGGCCTTTAAAAACCAATTTTTGAAGGCAGAATAGCACCTCCTGGTGAGAGCAAAAGAAAAAAAAAACCTGTAATTTCATGGTGTAACCACTAGATTCCTGTATAGGACTCTATAGAGAGGCTTGTGAATTCCCTAGTTGTTTTATACATAATTGTTTACTTTTATTAGGTTGTGGATTTAAATGTATATTAAGGCATTCTCAAAGACTACTTTTTGTCAAGGTTTATATTTTTAGCTGTTTTAAATGTTGATTTGAAGTGTAAGTTTTGCATTATTATTACTACATTCAAACCTGAACACAGAAAGCATTGTGTTACACAAAACATTAAAATTCTATAAAAATGTAACAAAAATTAACAGGAATGCTTTATCAGAGCTTAATCCTTCTGGGTCTGATCTGATTTTAACCTCTTATTTCAGTCTTCTGACTCATTTTGGCTATATGGTTATAACCATACCAGTTCATTTGAGTATGTATAATTCTGTATGTGAGTGTGTGTAAGTAAGTGTGTGTGAGTGGATGTATGTGTTTTACACTCTTGATGTTTTAGTGTAACCCCTTCCTTGCTGTCCACTTTTTTACTGCATTGTAGTTGAATTATTGATTTTATTTTACATAGTTGCAGTGTTGCAGTCACACCAAGTTCATAGGTGTGTGTGTGTACAAGTGTGTGTCCGCGTGTGTGTGAGTTGGTGTGTTGATTTTGCACTCTAGATGTTTTAGAGTTTCACCCCTTCATTGCTGTGCAATTTTTTTCTGCATTGTGGGGTATTTGTAGATTGTACACACAAAAATGTTCTGTATTTTCTTTTTTTTTTTTTTCATTACCCATTCATTTCCTATGGTCGGTCATTTTTGACCGAAGACCATGAGTGTGACTATTTTTTTTACGACCACTTAGCTTTTTCGAATCATGCCCTCAATTTTTTTTGTGTGTTCACATACCAAGTGCCATAAAAGTCACCAAGTTTCGTGCCATTCTGGTGAAGCTAAGATTTTTAAAAATTCAAATTGTAAAATTCTCAAGGGTTAAAAGGGTAGGAATTTGTTTTTGACAGATTTAATTGTTTTAAACAGTATTTATTTAAAAGCAACAATATCTCAGTTTCATTGATAATGCTGTTTTTTGTTTTAATAATAGTAATAATAATAACTTATTTTTTACTATAATTATTAAAACACAAAAATAGCAATAGCGATGAAATAATATATATATATATATATATACTATCACTTTTTATTCTTATTATTACAAAGGAGCATAATATTATATTATATTATTATTATGTTATATATCAGCTTATTGGTAATGGTCAGATTTTTGGCACTTTTTTAAAATGTCTGTCATTAAGCAAGATGTGGTGTTATTTATATAGCTAGGTTTAAAAAAAATGTCAATAGTTTAATTAATGTTAACTCACTTGTTTAGAAAGATTCTCTTCAGTCTTTTTTCTCCACTGTAAGAGTAGTTGACCTGAAAGAGAAATCTAACCATAAAAGGCCCTGACTCTGACATCCTGCTCAATTTGTGAAACATTTTTAATACTTTTAAATTCTTCAGCCTTCAATCCTGTCTGCTCTGCATGAACTTGCTTTTATTAGTCATTATTTCACCCCTCAGATACAGAAGGGCTTGTTTGTGTCATGGTCTTCACCATGTTGGAATGTGAAGCCAAAAACATGCTGGACAGCTGTGGAACAGGAGCTGCAGATAGAGACATGCCCTTGAAACATGTTTGTTTACCCAAAATGTTCAGGGATTTAAGGCTGTGAATACCAGCTTCTTTGAGGAAAGAGGAATTTCTGTGATGATTCACAATCACTCTTAGAGAGGTTATATAGTGGAGACCACTCTGGCACTCTTTCTTATGCTTTTTTAGTAGTTGTTTGCAGAACCGAGAGCTGGTGTGTGGTGTTTCCTCAACTATCAGGATTTGGATCATTTTCTGAGCGCCCTGTCGTTCCAGCAAATGAGAGGCAGGAGCTGTGTGATTTTATAGGAAATTTATATGGAGTTCAGCAGCATTCCTAATCCAAACACAGAAGTGTCCTCCCACACGTCCCGAATCCTTACAATAACAGCCTCTTACTACAAGGTGTATTTTCTGCTGACAGTACAATTTTCACCATTAAACTCAGTAAGAAACAACAGTCAGGTCGAGTCAAAGATCCCCATTTTTTCTGGTCCAGTCAGTATTGATTGAGATCTTGCAGGTTTAATCAACACACAGAAATATTCCTGGCTCCCGGTTTGAGCCCATACAGCTGGGACAGAACATTCCTCGGAAATATCCCATAAACCCAGACGTATACTCACTCCGATTGCGTGAACACAATGAGAGAGGGAGAAGACTGAGGTCTGCAGCTTTGCTAGTGTTCAGGGTAAATTCCCATGCCGTTGTGTTAGCTGGTCAGGACCATTGAAAGGCCTTGTTCTAACAAACGAACCATCACACCCAGCTTTGGCTTTGCTCTCCGTAATGAAGCGTGCCATATGGATGTTCTCACTTTGATGCCCTGTGCATTGACAATAAACAGACGTAAACACCATGTGCAAAAGTGTCTGGTGCTCTGCATGCGAAATCCCATGTTATTCTTGGGACTGATTACATTGGCATTGAAGGAAAAGGAGGAAATTATCCGTGTTCATATGTGGTGTCTCATCAGACGTTTTATGATTTATTGCATTACAAATCCCTATCATAATGAATTTAGTCTTTTGAGTTGCACGTTTTTCAGAGAAATATTTACATAGCTGATTTATTCAGTTACACAATTGTAGTAATGTCATTTTGCATGAAATGTTTATCAATTTTGTACGTTATTCTATACATGTTTGTGTGCAGGGTACCAGGGAGACCCTCAGCCATCACTGCAGCATGCTGGGAGATGCTCTGCACAAGGAGAACGATTTCGCTCTCATCATAGATGGAAAGACACTGAAGTATGCCCTCACTTTTGGGGCACGCCAGTATTTCCTGGACTTGGCTCTTTCCTGCAAGGCTGTGATATGTTGCAGGTATGTAACTATACATGGAGAATTTACTGAAAAGCAGCAAGAACAACTTAATGACAGTAACATAAACCCTTACAAAGTATTACAACAAACATCAAAGATTCATTGAACCCGTGGTTTCAAAATGTGTCACATGGGGATCCATGAACAATTTGGGAAAAAGAGGTATTTGTTTTTTTGTTTTGTTTAATATTGGGCAAAAAACCTAAAAAATGTAATTGTGTACTTGAAAGTAAATGTTATCCAGATAATATTTCAGTTTGTTTTGGCTGTAGTACAGTGAGGAATAAAAGTTATTCATTTAATTTTGGAAACAAAAAGGTTTTTTTTTTTATAATGCTTAATTTTCACACACAATCTGAATAGGTCTTTCAGAATGAAAATATCAAGCTGCCTACTTTATGAAAAGGGACCGTCACAAGGGTATCATCATATTTAGTGGTCCTTGCCATCAAAAACTCACAATAATTTAAAGACATTTTCCAATTTAACTATTGCTACAAATGAAAGAATTCTATTTTCCAGTGTCCAAGTAGAGGGGAAAAGTGAGAAAGTAAAAGTCCAATTATTGCAAATTTCCACTGTAATCGGATGCAGTATATTTCCGTTGTTAAACCAAAGTACACAGGAAGTTGTAATGTCATGCTCTGCTTGAATGTTTACTGTTTTACAGGTGGATGTAAATATGTCTTTGCAGGTTAATAACCATTTTTGCCCTCCAGGAAACTGACGCCATCATTGGACATTTTTCTGCACTTTGCAAAAACATCAAGTGACTGGCAGACAATTACAGGGAAATGCTGCTGTGCTATTTAAAGAACAAATGACCTTCCCTTTAGGTCACAACCTTCCCAATAAACATAATTATACTAGCTCTCAAAGCAGTCACTTACTAATGAGTGTTATTTTTTTTTAAATAGTAGATTGTAGTCAGAATGTCTGTCAGTTATACACAAAGTTAAACTGTGTGTTAGCAGACTAGAATTAACTGTTCCAAAAAATGCTACACCGTAAAAGAAACATATGAGGAACCAATTGAGTGTGACCAGGAACTGCCAAAAATCAGTGTCAATTTCCAGAAACAACACACACCACAGGTGCCACAGCCATTATGCAATGCTTGATGTAATCTATCTAATCTGCATTCGCTCGCTACACACACACACACATGCGAACAGCCACACGGCATCCTGAGAACAGATTTGTGCTTGCAGATGAATAAATGTTAAACTGACTCTAGAGGTCTCCTGCTGTATCGGCAACAATCTCCGGTTCACTGGAGAGCCTTACATCACTCTACGTTCATTGCTTACAGGATGACCTGACCTGTGAACGTTAAGCTGGGGTTAAACGTCGGAGGAGCTTTTCTAGCCAAAAGCGAGACCCTAATTTAATTTGCTGACACGGATGATGCAGTACTGTAATGTGCTGCAAGCTTTTACATTTGCACTTAGTCATTTAGCAGATGCTTTTATCCAAAGCGACTTACAAATGAGGACAATGGAAGCAATCAAAATCAACAAAAGAGCAATGATATACAAGTGCTATAACAAGTCTCAGTTAGCTTAACGCAGTACACGTAGCAAGGTTTATTTTTAATAAAATAATAAATGAAAAGAAAAAAGATAGAATACAAAAAGATTAGAAAGCAAGTGTTTTTTTTTGTTTTTTAAGAAACAAGCAGCAAATGAATAGAGTGCAAGTCTAAAAGGGACATGTTTTTTTTTTTTTAAAGAATAGAATTAGAATAGAGAGTGTTAAGAGTTAGAGGGTCAAATAAAGATGGAAGAGATGTGTTTTTAGCCGATTCCTGAAGATGGCTAAGGACTCAGCTGCTCGGATTGAGTTGGGCAGGTCATTCCACCAGGAGGGAACATTTAATTTAAAAGTCCGTGAAAGTGATTTTGTGCCTCTTTGAGATGGCACAATAAA